CCAAGAAATAATAGAAAACCAAATAATTGGTTCTGAGGCCTAAAAATCACACTTACAAATTTATTTTTTCAGGACTTTAACAAATTTTGCAATTATTTAATTCTATGGTGGTTCTCACAATTTTGCTCTTAGCATTACTGCTGGCCATACTCACTTGCTTCGAAGCCATAGTTATGATATTTCATGCAATAAAGTGAAAAATGCCCAATGATGAGTAGTTTAATGCATTTACCCAACACTGTATGTTGTCTGGGCGAGAACAGCAGTTAGACAGAAATGTCACTTTTGGTCTGCAGTGAGATGTGGTGGCTGGCTTTCTTGGCCTGTTCATGTTTTTTCCAAGTTAGAGTTTCTGTCTTATTTTATTTTATTGAGAAACAAATAGCAATGAGACAGTTTCAAAACTGATTAATAGGACAGTTTCAATAATTAATACATTGTACATTGTTATCTTCTTAGTGGTTATCCATAGTACAAGATGCAGACCGGATTTTCTGCTTGACTATGGATCAAAGTTACAAACACCAAACAGACTTTTCCCCCACATGGTGCTGTTCAAATAGTGGAAATGTCAGGCTTGGAGCCATCTGACAGCTGAGGTATCGCTATCCGTGGAAGGAGCATATTCTCATCCTGGTTTTTCCCATCTCTTCTGAGTTGGAGCCAAAACAAGAAAAAGTCTTAAAAATGAGTTCAAAGGGGGAAGATGACAAAAGAGGACAAGAGGAAAGATGGGGAGAAGAGGCCAGGGTCACCCTACTGCTCTCAGCACTCCAGGAGGTGTCATGCATCCTGCTTCTCTCCCTCCAGTTCAAAATCAGGCTCTCAGAGCCTCTACTCCCCAGCCCTACAGTCAAAGTTTTCTTCTGAAATGCAGATTAGATTATGTCCTCCCTTGCCTGAAACCTACAAGCCCTGGCTCCCATTGTCCACAGGGTCCTTGAAAATCCCTTAGAGAGACATAAAACCTGGCCCCACAGGGCCCCTGCTGTCTCCTGGTGGGCCCCAGCTGGGTCTCCCATCTAGCTGCAGCACTTCCTGTGCCTCTCAAGCACCCCCAGCTCCTCTCCCTGGTTGCCTTTGCACACATTCTCCCAGACCACACAGAAGTTTTGAGTTTTCTGCCTGGCCTTCCACTTCCGATCCTACTATTACTTCCTCTCAGATGGAACTCAGCACTTTCTCTCTCTCATTGCACATAATTGTCCATGTGTTTTTTCACAGCATGGTAGCCATTAGTCCTGTTGTCAGATAGCTCTGCTTCCCCATCCACTTCTGGTTCTATAGCAGGATTGCTCTTCTTGGCTCTTGTGTGCATAGATTGGGACCTAGTAATTAAGTCCAGTCTGCACAATGAGTTCTGCAAGGAAGTGAGAGTTCTGGCCTAGAAGAATGTCACTCTAGGCCAGCACATTTAATTGCCAGTTCCAGGTCATCCAGAGTTTGCTTTCCCCTGGCACTGCAATGGGCAGAGTCTGAGACGGACCTGTTCCATTGGGGTGTCCTAGTGACTTGATGAGCACAACCCTACCCCAACATGTTCCCCCTCCAGACTCCCTGCCAGCCCAGGATGGTGGGAGGTCTACCCTCTGAGTTTGAGAACTGTTATTAATGCTGAATACTTTCCTTGAACTGCCCTGGTGTTGATCAGAAACAGCTAAGCCATAAGTCCACCTTGACTCTAAGTTTCAGACAAGGTAGGGCCAACACGTACCCAAGAAACATGGGTGTGACATCTTCCATCCCTTACCCCCACCCTCACCTCCAGTTCCCCTAGAACCTTCATGCCTGGTCTTGGTTCTCTTCTTGCTTCTGACCTCTACTTCTGTGTCTGCCTAATGTACAAACTGCCTATCTCTGTCCCACTTTCTTAGTCCCTCTGATTTCACCTGCATTTGACCTTCACAGGTCCCAAGCTATTGTTCTGCTGTTTGCTTTAACCCCTTGGGCTGTGAAAGGAATGAGCCCCTAGTAATGCCCATGTCCTAATCCCCAAATCCTTCCAAGGCAAAAGAACATTTGTAAATGTGATTTAAGATATAAACATGAAAATGGAAATATGATTCTAGATTATCTGATCACATGAGTTCTTAAAAATGGAGTGCTTGGGGGGCTGGTGAGATAGCTCAGTGGTCTAAAGCACCTCCTTAGGCGAGCTTAGGCAGGCACAGGGGACTGCGGTTTGATCTCCAGCACCACATGCAGTGCCAGCCCTGCCCTCAGGGCAGGCTGAGCTGCCCCCTCCCAAAAAATGGAATGTGTGGGTCAGAGATATAGCTCAGACGAACAGCACCTGCCCAGCAAGCACAAGGTCCTGAGTTCAATTCCTGGTACCATAAAAAGGAGTGCTTAGAGAGGGATCTATGCTTATGGAAGAGTTTCAAAAAAAAAATAATAATAATGCAACGTCAGTGGCTGAGCAGATAAAGAAAGACTCAAAAGGCTAGGAATGTCAGTGGTCTCTTGAAGATGGAAAGGGTAGGGAAATCTATTTCTTTTAAGTCTCCCCCAAGGAACACAGTCCTACTAGTGCCTTCATTTAGCCCAGAGAGGGCTATGTCAGACCTTGGATTTACAGAATCACAAGATAATAAATCTGTGCTGTTTCAAGCCAGAGTCTATAGTGATTTGATACAGAAACAAGAGAAAATCTGTTTTTGAAAGCTTTCCTGGGGCTGGTGAGATGGCTCGGTGGTCTAGAGCACCTACTTAGAACAAGCTTGAGCAAAGCAAGGCACAGGGACCGCGGTTCAGTCCCCCAGTACCACATGCCAGCCAGCCCCGCCCCCTGGTGGGCTGGGCTGGCCACGCACGCACACACACACACACACACGCACACACATAAATAAATAAATAAATAATTAAAAAAAAAAAGAAAGAAAGCTTTCCTGCCTGACAGGGCCAAGCAGCAGAGACACTCGCCAATGAGGTTGGGTGCAGTGGTGGGACCATGTCCTAAGTCAAAGGCCCCCTTGACTAGGAAATAATGGAAGAAGAGTCCTGTAAGAGAGTGCAATGGTAAAAGCACAGCCTCCAGGCCCAGAAAGCCTGACTCTGCCTTATTGAATCTATCCACCTGTCTGCCAGTTAACTTCTGAATCTCTGAAATACAAGTTTCATTTGTGTTTCTGTAGGGCCTCCTCTGGCCTTTATTTGCTATGCTTGTGTTCTTTGGAACCACCGTCCACTCATCCAAAGCCCAGAAGAGGAATGCAAATGCCAGACCATCAAGCGTACCTGCCATATTAGCCTCTGCTCTTTCTGAGAAGGCTGTGGATGAGAACTGGATGCATCCAGAGAGGGGAGCAAAGCCCAGCACAAAGGGTAGAAGCTGGACTTGACATGGGAGCACCAATTCTAACGTGTGTGTGGGTCTTGGGCAAGGTGTACCTATATCAGCCTTAGTTTTTTAATCTGTAAAATTTGTTTTTTTTTAAATTTTATTTATTTATTTATTTGTGTGTGTGTGTGTGTGTGTGTGTGTGTGTGGCCAGCTCAGCCCACCAGGGGGCGGGGCTGGCTGGCATGTGGTGCTGGGAGATTGAACTGCGGTCCCTGTGTTTTGCTAAGCTTGTTCTAAGTAGATGCTTTAGACCACTGAGCCATCTCACCAGCCCAATAATCTGTAAAATTTGGACAGTGACACGTATTGATAAGATTGTTATAAAGGGGAGCCGAGATAATGTATATAGTGTCCACACAACAGTACCTGGCATACAGTAGGCACACACACAACCACACCTGGTGGGAGTGGAGCACAACAGAACACAGGATGTGGATTTCATGTTGGTCACATATTTTACCACTAGGGGGTGCTCAGGAACCCCTTAGTCCTCAGGAGATCATGTACATCGTGTGGAAGGACACAGTAGGACAGCCTAGAGGAACGAAGTCTCCAAGAACCAAAAATGGAAGAGGTCAGTGCTCCTATGTCCAGAGCTGACTCTTGGATCTCGCTTTGGGATGGCTTTTCTCCCCTCGCTTCCGTATGGTGGTATCAGACAGCAGGGGCAGCAGTGTGCGGGAGGAAATCGGGTCACTAAGTTTTCAGAAATGTTGCAAGCAGATGGTTAAACAACCATTATTAAATATTAAATCACATGAAATTACAGCTAAGTAAATCACATTAACAGCTAAAAGTGGGCTGGTGAGATAGCTCAGCAGACTAAGTGCCTGCTTTAGCAAGGCAGGTACCAGGGTTTGACTCCTGATCCCGCGTGCCTTACCGGCTCGACCCCAGGGGCCCAGTGAGCCAGTGACAGAGTCCAAGCATGGCAGCGCACACCTGGAATCCCAGTGCTGGGGAGGCTGAAAACAGGAGGATCACTATGAGTCCAAGCTGCGTAGTGAGACCCTATACCAAATACACAAATA